TATTTAAGTCAGTCAGAGGCTTCTGTCTTTGTGTTTGATTCTTGAGGCACTGTACGTTACTAGAAACCTCTCCTGGGGTTTTGGAAAGTCAACAGCAACATAAATGAATAAAACACCACCGCTGCCCTTAAGAAGTTTCAATCTAGCGAGCATGGTGATAAGATACCTATGGGGTACTTACAGTACAAAGAACACAAGTGTAAGCAGTGTGACGTGAACACAGGGGAAAGAGATTAATTCTGCAGAAGAGTGGGTAGCAAGTTTACCTGAAGAAATGGTATGCATACAGGGCTTTGGGGTCTGGGTGTGACTGTGACAGGCAAATGCACCAAAAATAAATGCCGGGAGGAGCAGCATTTATTTATCCCACAAATATTTGTTCATTGCCTAGAATAATGTAGGCACATGCCAGATACGAGGACAGAAAGCCAAGAGGTGACCTAGTATACAATGTGCTTCCGAATGTTGAGTAGATCCTTGTGTGTTCCCACTCGTGTGTGCATGTGTGTGGAGGCTGGAAGCGGGGCTGCAGCCAGATCATGGAGGGCCTAGGATGCCTTAACTCAGGGAGAGGGTGTAGCTCAGTGGTAGTGTATGCCTAGCATGTGTGAGGTCCTGGGTTCAATTCCCCAGTACCTCCATTTAAAATCAATCAATCAATCAATCTGATTCCTGCTCCCCCCCACCCCACCCCCCAGCCAAATAAAAACAAACAAGAAGTTAGAATGCCTTAACTCATTTAGGGGAGAGGGCACAGGTCTGCCCTCAAATCCTGAGTCTGTTTCTAGCTTTGAAACTTTGGGAAAGTGACCTGATTTTCCTGTTTCCTCGCTAAAATGGACACACGACACCTGAACAGTTGGGATAGTCATCATGTCTGTAAGTCATCTATTACAGTGTCTGGCTTTCAGTGGTCACTGAATAAACAGCAGGTGTTACTGCTCCTGAGGATTGTAGGGAACCATTAGTGGTTTGGGGAAGAGAAGCTGCCCAAAAGATTTAGGTTTTCAAGGGATTGTTATGGAGGCTACGCTGGGAGGTGGATGGGGGAAGGGGGCTGGCGGGGTGAGGTGTAGGAATGAGCGAGGTCCTGGGAGACCAGGAGGAGGCTGAAGCCACGATGAGGACCAAAACCAAGGCGGTGGGATAGAATGGACAGAAGCCATTGCTACTGAGGTGGCAAGACGAGCTTGCTGATGGACTGCGTGTCGGCGGTGAGGGAAAGGCAGCGCCCTGGAATGACGACAGGCTTTCCAGCTGCACGGCAGCTCCCCTCCCAGGGTCTGGTCCAGGAGGGGCAGGCTGAAGGAGGGGGCTGGAGAGGGTGGGATGGGGAGGGGAGGAAGAGGCTGAGTTCTGTGAGTGTGGGACTCAGGGGACAAACAGACTTCACATGCTGAGCAAGTCTGTTTTAAGGGTCTCCAGGGTGAGCCTGGCACCTGTGACTTCCCTTGAGAGCCATTGCTGAAGGACTCCATTCTGACTCGGGTCCCAGGCAGTTGGCTTCTTTTTCTCTTCCTACAGCATCCCTTCTCATCACAGACCCAGAGATAAGACCCAGGACTCCCCGAAAGGCCAGCTGCATTGGTTCCAACCCTCCTACTTAACCTCCTCCACCACAGTTTCCCAGAGAACCTACTCAGAGTCTTCATGTCTAATCCTGAATTGTTCTCCAGTACAGTTGTTTTTAGCCCGGAGTTCGTCTTTGCGGTCACTTCCTGACGTTCTAGTTGGGTGTGTCAGGTGGGAAGACACAACGACTTTAGGAAAACAAAAACCCCTGCTTTAGCTTCTCTTTGTGAGAAGATAGGAATTGCTCCCCTTTGTTGTTTAGGACTTGAGGGACAACCCAAGACTTCTCTTTACTGTTTCTTTAGAGCTGCTTTCAGAAAATCAACCTCTTACTCGTCCAAGCCCCTCTGTCTAACTGGTGAGGCCTGAACATGCTTTCAAGCGGCTCTTCCCTAAAAAATGTTCTCGGACTTTTTATGCCACCATCACAGAAGGGCTGACATTCAAATATTCAAATATCCCTCTTTCTCCCCGGTCACTAAGACAGAAGCTAACGAGCACCCTCCTCTCTGCTTCTTGGCCCTTCTTACATGTTCTAGCTACGCCATATTGACTCTGTATCATTGCATTCCAAACTGCTTGCCTCCTGCCTCCAGAGTTTTTGCCATGTCCGCATGCCACCTGCACCTTTATTAACTTACTATTCTTTGGAGAAAAAAGCATTAGAGTTTTGCTAAAGTATTAAAAAAATTTCATATAATTCTGTGAACATAAAACTAGTATCACTTATAATTACTAATTACATGAAATTTGGCCAGGCCTTTTTTCTTTTGGGGCCTTAATTACTTCGCTGTAAAGTGGTGAGAATACCTCCCCTACAAAGGCTCTTTACCATATTTAAGGATGAAGGGCAGGACTCAGGAGATAGGCAACAAAAAAAGATCATCTACCTATCTA